GTCTCAGTGGGTAGCACACAGCAACATATCTCTCAAGAGGCATCACAACCAGCGTGAGAGGAGATATCACAGCTGTGAGATGAGTGAAGTTGACAAGAAAAGTACATACAGGATATGACACTGTTATTCTAAGAACTGCAAGAAGAAAATGAATCTGACTCTGTGCCAGCTGCACAGTGTCCGCAAAAAGCAGGTTATACAGAAGAATATAACGGCAGGTCTCACGAAACACAGGTTTACTCCTCAGAGTGAACAACATGATGCCATTGATGAAAAGAAACACACAGGTTGGAAGTGTTGTCAGAGTAGAAATCATGACTCGTTCTGCTAATGCCTGATACCCAACAGTGATGTTAGTGAGAGTCTGAGATATACTAGACATTGAAGAAAATTAGGCAAATGTTACAGAGTAAAAAAAAAGCACAATACCAAACAAAATTAAACAGCACACAAGTACAGTTAACCTGTGAAGAGTTAGCAGCAGAGGTTCAGTTCTTGTTCTCGTGTGGGCAGAGCTGTTCTGCAGGGTTTTCTAAAACTCACAAACAATTTATAATGTTTTTCGTAGTCACGAACATGTTTACCAGATCATTAACTGGTGATGTAATCCTTCTTTCCCTCTTGTAGGTTGAGGTAATAATATATGTGTTGTACTGTTTTCCATTACTGTTACTCTGGTTATGAAGCACTTCATGCCCATTAGTTTGAATGCTGTGTAAAATGTAAATAAAAACAGAATGCTATGATTTCCAAACATGTGCATTTGTCAACCAGCGTGCAGCCTGGTACAGTTGCTCCTGCTTTTTCTCTTTAGCTTTGCTTTTTTTCTTATTTATTCTTTTTTTCTTTACCTGGACTTTGGTCTGTTTTAATAACTTTCCTTCAGCCATGTCGGTTGAGAGAGTTGTTGTTCTCATGGACGTCAAGGAACAATACAGCTCCTTCTCCCTCCTCCGACTATGTAGGTCAGATCACAACCTGATTCACCTCACACCCCCCAATATGTGCTGACTGTGAGAAGAAGCATTAGGGCTACAAGGCCCTGACTGCCAGACACTCTGTGAGCCTCACAGTGAGGACATCAATGGGCTTACTGAGTTGTACACTGACTACATAACTTTCTGCACTGACTCCATTGTTCCAGCTCAGACTGTCCATTGTTACCTAAATAACAAGCTGTGGGTGACAGTACACGAGTTACTAATACTGGACATTGGTAACTCGCACAATCTTCTGGACTTTACCCTTCCACCGGACCTTCAAGTCATTGTTCGCCCCAGCAGACACCGCCACCACCACCCCCAGAAAGGCCCCGAAGCACCGAGCCCTAGTTAGTCAGCCAGTCCCAGGTGCACTTGGTGATGGCAACCTAAGCGAGGCAACAGCGGGGGCTCCATGCCAGGCTAAAAGCTCAGGCTAGCCAACCACCGCTACCCAGCCTCCTACTGGGCAATGTGAGGTCCCTGGAAAACAAACTGGACGAACTATGAGCCAGCATCACAACACAGTGGGAAATTAGAGGATGCTGCGCTCTTATTTTCACCAAGACCTGGCTCTCAAACAAAGTCCCAGAGTGCACCATTCAGCTCCAGACTCATTCCATACACCGAGGAGACCGAACTGCTGCCTCTGGTAAGGCTATTGGGAGAGGTGTGTGTGCATACATTAACAAGTCGTCGAAGGACCATTAATGTTGGATAGATAGCTTGTACTGGAAGGACTGTAAGGTGCTAGTTCAGGTTTGCAGCTACCACTCCCCGGAGTGTCGGCCAGAACACTGCTCAAGGCCCGGATGAATGTTCAGAAGGGAGACAATGAAGACACCGAGGATAGTGCAGACTCTTGTATTGACTTCACACAGTTGAAGGTAACAGGGATTGTCAGAGGAGCAGGTATTGCATACAGGTTTAGGTGCGTGGGCATGGGTGTGTGTGTGTGGTCTCTGAACGGAACAGAAAGAAAATACTACATTACTAAAGTGTTCACAACAATATCTCCAGAGTACATCAACATAAACACAGGCGGGAAATAAACTAACATCCCCTTTAATACCATAGGCCATATATTACCCACGACTCACACATAGACCCCCTGAGAGAGCTAACCAGGTACACAGCTATGCCCAACCACACGGCAGGAAAGTTAGCTTAGCTTAGCTTAGCTTAGCACCCGCTAGCGGCACAGACAGAAACATAATCATTTCCCCCCTAACCTTGGTTACAGTCCCAAACACATCTTATTATCACATCCTCACACATCACCAACTTACGTTGCTCATTAACGCACACTTCTCACAGAATAACCAATTCTCTGCCAGTAATCTGGAGCAGAAAAGCTCAGGTGCTTTGCCCACGTCTCTCCCTGGACATAGTCTCTCATACAAAGCGGTGGGGTGACCTCTACTGGCCACTCTAAAAACTACAGGTGAACTAACAACTGAACAGAATAAAACCATAACTACGGGGCCTTTTGTACAGCCGCCCCCAAATGTATGAAGTACATTTGCTCACAACAAAAGGCAATTTTACAAACAAAGTCACGGTGATTGTCCTTTGTCTTCGTCCGGGAGGGCAGGCAGTACCACCAGCCTCGCCACAGGTCGGGTGAAGGTCCGGTCCTTCACCTTGATGTCAGCAGACCTGATGTGCCCGTCGGGACTGGGGTGGACTTTGGAGATGCAGCCCACGAGCCAGGAAGCACGAGGCAGCTGAGGATCTACGATCATCACCACTGAACCTTCTGTGACATCTGCGGGGGATGACCGCCATTTCTGCCGAAGCTGCAGGCTTGGAAGGTACAGCCGGATGAATCGAGACCAGAAGTGGTCAGCCAGCACCTGGGAGTGCTTCCACCTCCGGCGACTCAGGAGCTCTTCTCTGGGATAAGCCACTTGAGGAAGTGCTCCGTCAGGCCGCCCCATCAGAAAGCAGTTGGGGGTCACTGGATCAGGATCACTGATGTCAGACGGGACATAACCTAGTGGTTTGGAGTTCAAGATGCCCTCCACCTCCACAAGGACCGTGTGGAGGACCTCTTCTTGAAGGGGTTGGGATCCTACTGTAGTGTAGAGTGCCATCTTGACAGACCTAATCTCCCGCTCCCACACTCCCCCGAAATGAGGAGCCGCTGGTGGATTGAAGTGGAAGACGATCTTATGGGGAGCCAGGAGCTTCTGCAGGTCAGAGGTCATGGCTGCAAAAGCTGCTTGGAGTTCCCTTTCTCCCCCACGGAAGTTGGTCCCTTGGTCTGAGTACAGCTCAGCTGGAGTTCCTCTCCTGGCAATGAAGCGTCGAAGTGCCATTAGGAAGGCATCTGTATCGATGGAGGTTAGGACATCAAGGTGGACCGCTCTGATAGTTAGGCACTTAAAGATGATGCCCCACCTCTTCTCCACACGGCGCCCGATTTTGACCTCAAAGGGTCCAAAACAGTCCACGCCTGTCGAATAAAAGGCAGGTTTGTAAAGGCGGAGGCGCGCAACTGGCAGGTCCGCCATCTTGGGAACAGTCGGTCGGGCTCTCCATCTGCGGCACTCAAGACAGGTCCTTTGAAAACGCCTAACTGCTTCCCGGCCTCTCAGGATCCAATGAGTGCGCCGAATCTCCGCGAAGACCCTCTCTGGCCCTGGATGGCGCAGGCGACTGTCGACGTCCTGGATGAACAGGCGGGTGACTGGATGTGTCGGATCCAAAACTAAAGGATGGGAGCTGGTAAAGGCGAGATCTTCAGAGCGGCGAAGACGTCCACCTACACGGATGACCTCATTCTCGTGGTCGAACTCAGGGGATAGTGCAAGGAGACGACTGCTGCGACTGATGGATTTCCCCTGCTTAAGGAGTCGATACTCCTCAGGGAAGCTCTCCTGTTGAGCTTCTCTCAGGACATCCATCTCTGCTCGAACATAGTCATAAGCCGATGAAGTTCCACCGCCTTTGGCCGCCCCATGCAACTGCGTAATAGCTGCTTCCAGCAGCTGTGTCCAGGTGTCATATTTGCTGAAGTTCGAAGTGGCGGGGTCGAAGGTGGTAGAGAATCCACAAAAGGTCTCTTTACGGAGCTCAGATGGGCCTGGAGGCTCAGCCAGGGTGCCACTTGGCTCTGGAGGCCACTGTTCTGGACCTAGGAGCAGGAAAGGAGGCCCTTGACTCCATCTATTGGGTCTGGTCAGCTCGAGAAGGGACTTCCCCCGGGTTATATCATCTGCGGGGTTCTGGGCTGAGTCCACATAGCGCCAGGTGTGCGAGTGAGTTAATTCCTGGATCTCAGCCACGCGGGTGCCGACGAAGACCTTGAAGTGGCATGACTGGGACCTCAACCAGGTGAGTACAGTTGTGGAGTCAGACCACAGCACTATTCTCTTTATGTCCAGAGTGAGCTCATTTTTAAGGAGACGGGAAAGATGAGCTCCGGAGAGGGCACCACACAGCTCAAGTCTGGGCATGGAGAGAATGCGTTTAGGGGCAACACGGGAGCGAGCCATCAGGAAGGCTAGATGTGAGCTGCCATCCCCTGTCACTGTTCTCATGTAGGCCACCGCGCCATAAGCCTGCTCTGACGCATCACAGAATATGTGAATCTCTCTCTCACTAACTGCCTCCATGATGTGCTTTGGGAGATACGGGCGAGGAAGCAGGACTTGTGCAAGGAACAGCAATTCCTCTTCCCAGGTTTTCCACTGCTGGAGTAGTTCTGGCGGAAGCTGCGGGTCATCCCATCCCCTCTGTTGATCCCAAAGGCGCCTCACCAGCATCTTGGCTCGGGTGGTGTACGGTAGGATAAAGCCAAGTGGGTCGTATTGGCTTGCGAGAACCTTATAAATATTCCGCATGGTGGGGGCGCCATAACTGATTTTGCGGTGTCTGTAACCCAAGGTGTCCGTGGGGAAGTGCCAGCTAAGGCCTAGAGTTGGCTCAGAGGTGTCTGATTTGTCTTGAGTGAGCCAAAGTTCTGCACTTGTGGATCTGAGGTCTTCAGGTAGGTGGCCAATGGTGCTGGGTTCATTACTGGCCCACTGGCGAAGGACAAATCCAGCAGAAGACAGGAGGGCTCTTAGCCTGTCCCACAGAGTGACGTAGCGGATCATCTCCTTCCGTGTGGTCCCTGGCGTGGCGCTGCAGAGCGAAGGTTGCACAGCATGGGCTGCAGGTTGTACCGAAGGGGAGGACCTGCCATTCATAAACGGCCACCGGTTCCTCGGGGTGCAGATCCCGCCACACAAACCGCAGGAGGGAACGATCTTCGGGAAGAAGGCGAATCTGGTGGAACATACCTTTAATGTCCCCACTGATGGCTACGGCATGCTCTCGAAAGCGAAGGAGGACACCAAGGAGCGATGCGCTCAGGGTGGGCCCAGGTAGAAGATGTTCGTTGAGGGCTTGGCCTTGGAACTGGAACGAACAGTTAAACACGAGGCGATCTTTGCCATTGTGGCTAACAAGGTGGTGAGGGATATACCATGACTCATCTGCTTGAGCAACCTCAGAGGGGGACACCTTAACCACCGAACCGGCCTGGACCAACTTCTCTATCTCCGCCCGGTAGATCTTAGCTCGTTCTGGATCTTTCTGGAGCCTTCTCTCCACACTTCTCAAACTGGGAACAACAGCGTTAGGGCTAGCTTTAAGGTGTGGCATGTTCTCGCGGCGAAGGAGGGGGGTGGCATAGCGTTGGATGCCCTCGACATCTACACGAACTGTCTTCTGCTCTAGCAGGCTAACTGCATAGTTATCTTCTCTTGAACGGGTAACCACCTTGCCTTCTGGCACCGGGACAACATCTACCTGCCATAGCTTCTCTACATGTTTGAGTAGCTCACTCACCTGGGGAGGAATGGCGGTCGTGAAGAGGCACTGTTGTGGCAGCGAAGAGGAACCTATAAGGCTGGAGGGACCCTGTAGTGTCCACCCTAACCTGGTGCGCATAGCGGCGGGACCACCCGGTGGACCAAGACGGACAGCTTCAGTTGGAGTGATGAGCTGTGGGTGGTCACTGCCAATCAGAAGGAGAGGTTTGACCTTCTTGAAGGACTGGAGAGGCAGGCCTCGGAGGTGTCTATACTTCCGCTGCAAGGACTCCACCGGGTAGCTGTGCTCGGCTAGGTCGATACGGGTGGCGGTGAAGGCGTTGCGGACTTTGTACTTCAGCCCAGGTTTGCCACCAGGGGAGATCTCGAATGAGACACATGATCCATACAGCGTTTGCACATCTTGCCTGATAGTGCGCAATGGAAGTGTCTCTGGAATGCCTTGAAGGTCAAGCTTCTGGGCAGCGGTGGGTAGCAGCATAGTCCTCTCTGACCCATCATCCAAAACTGCGTGAGTGCTCAAAGTCTTGCCATTATGGTGAAGGATGACTGGGACAACCTTTAACAGGACTTGGCCGCTCTCTGTAGGACGATCGAGGTACAGGACGCCCGTAGGATTCTCACCTTCTCGTGGAGGAGCAGACACTGAGCCATGTGGCTTTACGAACTTCGAATTCACATCGTGAAGGACCTGCAGATGACGACCCTGACACAGGCTGCAGGGTTTCTTGAGGGTACACTGTGCTGCCTGATGGGAGCGTGCGCAACGCCAGCACCTCTTGTTAGTCTTTATCCAGTCTGTGAGTTGTTCGCGACTCAGCTTGATGACCTCCTGACACTGACTCAGGTGATGGGCACGGTTATCGCAAAAGGCGCAGTAGGGTTGCTGCCTAGCTTTGTTTGGAGTGGTACCTAGTGACCTGGGTGAGCTCTCTCCACTGTGAAGAACCGCAACAGAGCGTCTGCTTGGTCTGACATCAGGCTTCTCTCTGGTGATCGCTGGAGTGGGCAAGCCGTCATAGTCCTGACACCAGGATTCATACTTTAACCAGGTAGCCAGGTCGTCCAGGGTGTAAGCCTGACCAGAATGGTTGTACATGCACCGACGGAAATCAGCCCTTTGCTCTGAAGGAAGCTTACTAAGGAGTCGAGCCACATGGGAGCCACACTGGAGTTCGACCTCCCCATCAGGGCCTAAAGTCTTCAGCATGCCCACGAGCGACTGGATGTGGAGAGAGAATCGCTCAAATGCGGCTGCATCCCCTCGGCGGATGTCAGGTGAGTCCATGACAGCAGCAATCCTTCTCAGGGCAAGCTGGTGGGGCTGCCCAAGCCTGTCGTTAAGAGCGTTCATAGTGTCACTGAAGGGCGTGGCAGAATGGAGGTAAGCGTCCGCTATCAACTTTGCTTCCTCCAGGTGTAGGTGATCTAACAAGACTTGGTACCTGAAGAGCTCTGAACTCTCCGGGGGCAATAAGTTCTCTAGCGCCATCTTTAGACGAGCAAATTCCCCAGGATCACGGCGTGAGAGCTTGGGAATGCTTGGACGAGGCCCCCTGTAGGTCAAGAAAGGAGTAGATGAGGACGGGGGTGGAGTTGGCAGTGGTTGCAATGGAGGGGGGTGTGCTCTCGGAGGCGGCGCTGGAGGGTAGGTGATCCTTGGCTGAGGAGAAGTGAACCCTGGCCTAGATTCATGTAGGGGGGTGATCTGACTCTCCTGTGCAGCCATAGACTCCCTCTTCAGATCCTGGAGCTCTTTCAGCATCGTATCGATGCGGTCCGCAACTGGACCCTGGCTGGAGACAGACTCCTCCTTGAACACAACAGGAGGAGGTGGTGGAGGCCAGTCCTCTTCCTCTTCAGCAGGGGGTGGCTGGAGATGAACAGCAGGGGCTCTGGGCGGTGGACTGAGCTGCAGACTCTCTGCACGGTCCAGCAACTGCAGCAAACTAGCATGAAGGGCCTGGAAATTAGCCAGCCCGGCTCTCATCTCGTCATGCGACTGCTGGAACAGGAACCTTTCACGCTGTATATCTTCTAACTCTGCTCTCAATGGTGTGACATGGCCGTGTGAGCGGTCATCAGAGGGGTCAGACGGAGGATGGTGGGAAGAACGGGTGTCGCCTCCTGTCTCACTTTCCTCCTGGTAACCTGCACCAAGCCCGGGGAAGTCAGTCTCATAAGCTTCATAGCGGAGGGGACGCCGTACATTACGCCGTGGGCGCGCACCAAGAGCTGAGAAGTTCTGAATATCATCCATCTTGTTAGGGTAGAAGCAGCTTACATCCGGCTCGAAGGACCATTAATGTTGGATAGATAGCTTGTACTGGAAGGACTGTAAGGTGCTAGTTCAGGTTTGCAGCTACCACTCCCCGGAGTGTCGGCCAGAACACTGCTCAAGGCCCGGATGAATGTTCAGAAGGGAGACAATGAAGACACCGAGGATAGTGCAGACTCTTGTATTGACTTCACACAGTTGAAGGTAACAGGGATTGTCAGAGGAGCAGGTATTGCATACAGGTTTAGGTGCGTGGGCATGGGTGTGTGTGTGTGGTCTCTGAACGGAACAGAAAGAAAATACTACATTACTAAAGTGTTCACAACAATATCTCCAGAGTACATCAACATAAACACAGGCGGGAAATAAACTAACATCCCCTTTAATACCATAGGCCATATATTACCCACGACTCACACATAGACCCCCTGAGAGAGCTAACCAGGTACACAGCTATGCCCAACCACACGGCAGGAAAGTTAGCTTAGCTTAGCTTAGCTTAGCACCCGCTAGCGGCACAGACAGAAACATAATCATTTCCCCCCTAACCTTGGTTACAGTCCCAAACACATCTTATTATCACATCCTCACACATCACCAACTTACGTTGCTCATTAACGCACACTTCTCACAGAATAACCAATTCTCTGCCAGTAATCTGGAGCAGAAAAGCTCAGGTGCTTTGCCCACGTCTCTCCCTGGACATAGTCTCTCATACAAAGCGGTGGGGTGACCTCTACTGGCCACTCTAAAAACTGCAGGTGAACTAACAACTGAACAGAATAAACCCATAACCACGGGGCCTTTTGTACAGTGGAGAAGTGCAGACTGTCCAGAAGCAATGTTTGCTAGACAATGCTGCCCTTACTACTTGCAGCGGGAGTTCTCAGTTGTGTTTTTGACCATCCAGCTGTGTGCTGACTCCGCGGCAGCGCTCAGCAAACTTCATGACATCATCACTGCATTAGAGACAACTCATTGAGATGCTGTTTTTATCGTTGCCGGTGACTTTAATACGTGCAACTTATGGACTCATACATCAGGGTACTTTTTGTTGATTACAGCTCTGCTTTCAATACTCTCATCCCACACAAACTCACTCACAAGCTGGCCACACTCGGCCTGCACCGCACCCTCTGTGACTGGCTACAAGACTGGCTTTTTGACTGGCAGGCCACTGTCAGGTTTGGTAACAGGACTTCAACCAGCATTATTACTAACACTGGTGTTCCACAGGGTTGTGTCCCCAGTCCCAACCTCTACACCCTGTACACCCACGACTGTGTCGCTTCCAACAAAGAGAGCCTCCAATAGGGATAACACCTTACTGAAGTTCACGGACGACACTTCAGTGATCAGTCACATCACTGGGGGGGACGAAGCGGCTTATAGAAGAGAGGTGGCCGGTCTGGTGTCATGGTGTGAGGACAGCAACCTCACCCTCAACACTGATAAGACTAAAGGCATGACAGTGGAAACGAGGAAGATGAGGAGGCCTCACCAGTGACTGTTTATCTCAATTTTAAATCCATGTAGACATTGAGGGTTCTCGGGAGGGGCCGTGCTAACACCTGCTGCTCTCTGGCAGCAGCACCATGCTCTCCCTTGTTTTAAATGCACTTTAGAACAACACGCAGCAACACTACACATGAGCGGGAGGAGGGAGGTATGGGGTCTTCACACACCCCCGTAAAACAACAGACTGTGAGAGAGTGTTCCAGGGAAAAGTAAAAACACAAGACAAGGACATAAGAAGCTAAGCAGGGAAGATAAGGGCAGGAGTGGAGAAAAGTGTGACCGCCTTCGCTGAGAGCCAAAAGTCTTATCGGTGTGGTCTATTAGCAACAGTTGAACCCACTGAAGAGATTAGGGGCTGCAGAGGGACGTAATACCAGGATACCCTCAAAAGGGTTCCTCTAGGACCCCTAAACAAATTAAAAGCCCCTCTGAAGCCTTCAGGTCCTTCATCCCCAAAAACTGAAAGGAAAAAAATTGGCAAAAGTACAGTGCAAGTACAAATAAACATTTTTACATTTAAAGACTTTGCAATTTAACAGTGATTTAAAGGCTGAAAGGATGCTGAGAGTGTGTGTTGAAATGAAAGTGTGCATGTTGTGAAATCCTTTTAATCATTGGTGATTCTGTAATCATGGGCGATCGTGGCTCAAGAGTTGGGAGTTCGCCTTGTAATCGGAAGGTTGCCGGTTCGAGCCCCGGCTTGGACAGTCTCGGTCGTTGTGTCCTTGGGCAAGACACTTCACCCGTTGCCTACTGGTGGTGGTCAGAGGGCCCGGTGGCGCCAGTGTCCGGCAGCCTCGCCTCTGTCAGTGCGCCCCAGGGTGGCTGTGGCTACAATGTAGCTGCCATCACCAGTATGGGTGGATGACTGGATGTGTAAAGCGCTTTGGGGTCCTTAGGGACTAGTAAAGTGCTATATAACTACAGGCCATTTACCATAAATATATTGTTGTGAACATTGCTGAAGCTGTGGGTTTTCAGACGGGTGAGAAAAACGACATCTCACTGATTCTGATCCGTCGGGTCCGCGCTTTGTGTTCACGTCTTTATGCAGAATCCGTGGACCTGCTCTCATTTACTGTTTTAGCTGTTTGGTGGTTGTTGAAATTTTTTGAGGTTTAACCTGAGATTCTGGTGATTCGGGCAAAATAAATGTATATTTAAAAAACGATTCAGGATTGTAATGAATCAATATTACGTTATCCAAGCTAGAATCGATTTTAATTGATGAATCAATCATCAAAACCCACCCCTAGTCTCCACCACACAAACGTCACGTACAAGTGGCCTCATACCACAACAAGTTACTTTAATATACAAAATTCAGTAAAGCAAGCACAGGAAAGGTTTTTGTGTTGTTTTTGCTCACAGGCTTTCGAGCGTTTTCCTTATAAAACGCCGTTTTTACCGTTTCTTCCTGCAGTAAATATAAACAACGACAGTATTCAGGAAGAAAACCAAACATTGCAGATATTTTATCATAACTCTGGTTTTACGTGGCCGATCAACACAATTTAAAAACTGGTATAAAGTCCACACTTTTTCCGTCAGTTGTTCCGTCTGTCCTGCTCACATCTCCAATGGTTGTACACGTTGTCATTAACGTGGCTTCACTCCACATCAGCCGCTTTGCTAAAACACCGATGTCGGTACAAAAGGACGCTGTCAGAGCCTGACAACGACGTTGATTAGCTGCGTATATATGAATGTGAATTGCATCATTGGCTGGACTGTGGGATAAGGTGGCATCGTTCTGATCCCATATGGGAGCAGCCAGTCACTGACTAACACTGCAAAACAGAATTGTTAGTTTTAATTTTAATTTCAATTCAGGGTAGATTTTTTTTTGTGCGCAACGTAGATTTTCTGTGCACAGTGACCGTGCCAGCAGTGCCCAATTGTGCACGCGCGCAGCTTAGAGGGAACATTGCTCAGCACCCCACAGTGTTATTGCCATCACCTGGCCAACAACACTCACAAGTGACCTAACCAAAGTAGCCAAATCCTCCACAGCACTAAAGGTCACAGCACAAAACATTCAACCACATGAGGGCCGCATTTGGCATCCACTAACATTGATATTTTAACAGTGCACATATGGTGTACACCCTATGCCAACTGTCAAGGGATTTCTTTAAATCAACTCGTAGTTCTTCAGCTAAGACACCTGAGTTAGAAAACACAAACACTGCAGTTGCCTTTACATGCGTGGGCAGTCACTCTGAGACCTGCGTCTCATCGCTCTGCGCTCTTTATTTATACATGTCTGTATGTCTGTGTGTGTGTAAATAGCTTCTTATTCTAAGAACTGAGCTGAGGTTCCCCTTTTTCTAATTCTGTATGCTCTTACAAAAAGAGGAAGCTATCAGTTGTTTATCACACAAAAGTACATCAAAAGTCACGTAGACGTTTGCCTAGTGATTAAATAAAAGAATACATTTCATGAAGCTGATCACATTATATAAAAACAATATTCTTTTGACACCAACTTAAAAAGGCCTTCCTGCCTCAGCCATAAGACCATAATTCACAAATGGCCTCAAACCTCCTGTCAAGTGTGGTGCCACTGATTTACTGGTATGCAATTAAACTTTACCTACCTACTTTTCGGTGGCGTGCCAGGCTCGAGGCACCTTTAAACGCCAAATCAAGAGTAGACAGCAGACCAGAAATACAGTCTCCTATCACACTCTGAAGCGTACCCCCACCCAGGATAACCACCAAACGCAACAAATTAAAACAACAAAGCAAAGCAACAAACAAGTGCTTCGAAGGAAGGGCAGCACAGCCACCCAGCTGAAACACACTTACTAAAGGTGTCATGGTCCGCGGCCCGGTGTCCGAGGAGCTGATGGGATGCCCACGTCCATGGGTGTGGCTGTTAACTCCACACCTGCATCCCATCTCAGGCGATTATCAGGTGGACTATTTGATCCAGCCCAGCCAGCTGCTCCACGCCAGCCCGTTAGTCGTCTCACAGCGGTAACAGCTCGGCGTGTTTTTTTGAGCCACCTGCCTGTCCACCTGCCCGTCTGGAGCTTGGATTGCCTCTGGTACCAATCACCTCTACTTTCCTGGAGCTCCCCCGCGGACCCTGACCCCTCCCTCTGGCTCCCACGGCCCTGCTTTGACTCCTCCCACAGTCCCGATTGCTGCATTCCTGCGTAACTCATCCCCCGGTCCCTTGGTTTTTCTAGTTTCTCGCGTGTTTTCCTTTGACCTTTGACCCTTCCGGAACACCTTTAGTTGAAATAAAGTTTATTTTTCATACTCCTGTGCGTGTTGTCTCTGCTTCTGGGTCCAGCTTGTGTACTGAACTTCGGTTCATGACAAAAGGGAGTTTGCCCAATTACAGTGAACACCATCACTCACCCACTTAAAAGTAAAACAAAAACTGATATTCAGTCTTCACAAAAATATCCAAATGATCCTGGACGAGTCCCCACTTATATTGCCACCGGGGTCGAAAGCCTCATCATAAATAAGGAGACGAACACCAGAACTTAGGTGAGAAGAGATTTTAATCTTAAAATTCATTGCAAGTTGGTTAAAATGGCTGGTAAAGCAAGGGCTAGTGAGTCTCCCTAAAAGCCTGCCTCAGGTATCCTTTTATGCACACCCGACTAGGTGTGGTCAATTTGCAATAGCTGAACCCACTGAAGAGATTAGGGGCTGCAGAGGAACGTAACACCAGGATTTACTCTAACATGTTTTACTCAACAGTCCAGCAACGAGAAGCTCAGAGCCCCTGCCTGAAGTAGTGGGTGGGAAAACAGGATGATGAGTCACAGATACATGATTAGTTTTAGGTGCATGGGCCAAAGGCGCGAGCCTGCAGTGCGCTCCACCCAGGTGGAGCAATGCAGGAGAGAGAGAGAGAGAGAGAGAAAGAGGAAAAAAGTCTGTCTGGGTCTTTGGTTGCTTATTAGGCTGGTGTGAAAAATTGCCACCACACCACTGTTTGTTTGTCAAACTTAGATTCAGGAGGAACAATGCGGTTATTGTCTTGGGTCTAGATGCTGAGACCAGAGAGTTTCTCTCTAAGCTTTTTAGATTCTGAGAAGGCATCTTACTGCATCCCTCAGGGGATCCTTTGGCGTGTCTTTTGGAAATATTGGGTATTAAAGCTGTTTTAGGTTATTAGCTCCCTAGAGAACCACAATGAGACCTTAGTTTGCATTGCTGGCAATAAGTCAGATTCATTCCTGGTGGGTATCTGCCAGTGCTGTCCCGTTGTGATTGTCATTCTGTTAATTATTTCTTTGTCTAGAATCCGGCCCAGGGGTAAATGGTGTTTAGCTTTGCGACCTCAGGATTTTGTCTCTGCTTTTTGCAGGGGTTGTTGACTTTCTTAAGCATGACCTCCAGTTTTATCTAGGGCAATTTTAAGCCAATGTAAATCAGCTGGAATAGGAATTGGCACCTCTGGGTCTGAGGCCATGGTTCTCATTTGAAAAAGAGTAGAGTGTGTACTTTGTGATGGGAATGAGTTTCTATAGGACAGGATTGTCCAATCCCAGTCCTCAAGAGCTACCTTCCTGCAGCTTTTAGATGTATCCTTGTTCCAACTCACCTGAATCAAATGAATGGCTTGTTATCAGGCCTTTGCCAAACTTGATGGCATGCTGAAGAGATAGTTTGATTCAGCTGTGTTGGAGTAGGGATGCATCTTAAAGCTGCAGAATTGTAGCTCTCGAGGGCTGGGATTGGACACCCCCACTCAGTTTTATTTAGGCAGTACCAAATGACAACAACAGTTGGCTCAAGGCAATCCATATTGTAAGGTAAAGGCCTGACCATGATACAGTGAAAACGTAAAAAGACGGGACTCTCCTCAGCTCTTTCTGGGACAGTGGCGCGGCTGCCCCTCTGTTGGTCTTCCTTGGTCTCTTGTGTTCTGGGGGCCTCTGGATGTCTGGAGTTTTGATCTCCTCCATACCTGCTTCATGCCCTGGAGGACGGGGCTGTGGCCCCCCCACACCCTCTAGCAGATCATTACATGAAGGAACCTTTTAAAAAACAAGCGCGTCCATGCTCACAGGTGTACACACGGGTGATCACACCCACAAACTACACCCTTTTTGGCTCCTACCTCAAAGCACACTGTGTTCTGTTGATCTTATGTGCTGCACAATAATGTTTAATATTTAGTATTTACTGTCATATTCCCATATATCATTGTGATGTTGTTTATTCTATTACTCTTGTTCTCTTCTGCTTGTTTTCTTTTTTCTTTCTCAACAGGTGATCCAGGTGATTGATATATGCATTTTTTTTCTTCCGTTCTGTTGGTTTTTGTCTTTTGCCCTTCTCCCCCGTCCCTCTTCTCAGCTGTTTCTCTTTCCCTCTTTCTTTCTCCCCTTCTTTCCCCCAGTCAAGTCTGTCCCGTATTCAGTAAGTGAAAATAAAATAAACAATAAAAGGTGAATCAAATGGACCATTACGGCAAGGCTGGGATGGTCAATTTGGTAAAGTAAATCCGTTGGGCATCTTTCTTTGCCTTTAGACAATAATTCTGATGGCAAAAGAGCCAAACGGGACAGGCAAAAATAAAAAATAAAAAAAAAGAAAACATAAAGAGACCAACAGCTGTATGACCCCCTGTGAGCAAGTTCTTTGGTAACAGGGAGAACTTAAAAAGAAATAAGAATGACAAATGATTGTTTTAAAACTCATGTAATGAGCAGCATAATTTCTATTTTCTGTCCTATTCATCACATATTTCATAATATAAGCTTATATAAGCAGAGAGAGAAGATATGGAAACTATAGAAAACTTTAGAAAAGGACTGTGCTGTAACTCAGATGGTGGATACATTATTGAAATCTAATAGGTAACATTATTGTAATGTTGTAAATGTAATAAAGTTTTTTTTATATAGCACCAAACCACAGCAACAGTCATCTCATGCATTGACAAAGCATCATTATTTAATGTGAACATATGTTAAGCAAAGTTAGCACATTATAACTTAATTTCCCACCTCATCCAATGGCAGCAACCTTTCTCTCATTGTTTTTTTGTTTTTGTTTTGTTTTTCAATTTTGAATCTATAGTTTTCAGTCACATGACTGACTCACACATGGAATGTCCAGTAGAATAAAAATCTCACCTGTCCCAAATCAAGACCACTCAGATCATCTGTTCATGGAAAAAAAGCTACGATACAAGGAGAAACTACACATTTTGGGGACTCGTGATCCATATTCTCCCCCAGCAACTGTCCCACAGCCCCTGTTTGGTGACATCTACATGTATCTTGCAGAGAATCCTTCACCTCACACTGCTGCCTGAATAAAAGCTTTCAACTGCAGACCTGTAAGGCTGGGTTATTTAAGGTATGCTCACATGTTGACGCTATAATCTATGCCATTTTGGCAGCTGTAAATAAACAAAGTACAGCTATATATATATCACAAAGTCACAAAAATCACCTCAAGGCGATTTACGTAATGGGGTGAATACCATACAATATACAAAAGGTCTGTGATCAAACTATTTAAGACGTTTTGTTGATTGAAAATTCACCAAATTATTCAAGATAGCAGAGAACAACTTTACCAACACAAAGCACCTTTAGTTTTCCAAAGTGCTGAATTTATTTGCACAACTTGGAACTGAAAGAAAACCCTCTAGGACACCTGCAGTAATTCCAAGGCTAAACTGCAGGTTCAGAAGTAGGACAGATGTAGGCCAATTACATCTAATTAAAAATTGCTGCAATTTCTTTGCCTGAGCAGTGCTTGAGATAGAGTGGCTGTACACAGATTACAGGGTTACACAAATGTGACACTCTTTCCTGTTTTACCAAAGCATGTAATCATTTGAGAGAATTATAAAGAATTATGTTCCTTTAGTAAACAGCAGCAAACAATTCCTCACGTGTGTCATTTGACAACTGTATGGTTTTCAATAAAAATTCAAAAGTCAAGTCAGTAACAGAAGGAGTTATCCAGAATTGCAGTACGGTACTTTGAGGTTTGTATGCTTGTAAGCGTGGTGTATACTCTGACTAACACTCTACTTCGATCGCAGCCTTCAGTCTCGGCTGTATGACTGAGTATTTCAGTCGACAGCAAAGATAATATATGAGCACAGGTCTGATGCTTTGATCTCTGATACCATAAATCAGTGAACTCAGACATCTGGGGAAAAGGAAAATACAAACATAAAAAACATTCTGGATGCGCACAAACACTATCCTTGTTAAAACTCTTGCAAGTGCTGTGAGTAGTGGGTTACAAATGGTTGAAGAAAGACTGAGACCCAGCTGCACCAGATGTAGCAGCAGTGTGTTACAAGCCTTACGCGCTGAAGCTTTATCTGTGGAGGCCGACCTGGCTGCTACTATAACACCAATATAAGAGCATGTGATTGCCACACTTGCTGAAATAAACAGAGCACATGTGAAGGCTTTGTCGTAATTATCAGACATAGACCCACCAGACATTGCTATTTCAGAGCAAAAGTCTTTCATCTGCAGACTATCAAGGGCTTCAAAAGGAAACTCTAACAGCAGAAGAACTCGAGTCAAGATATTTAGTGAACCGATGGCCCAGATCACAATGATGGCCACACCTGTGTTGGTGATAGTGATGATGCTAGCATGCCTCAGTGGGTAGCACACGGCGACATATCTCTCCAGAGACATCACCACCAGCGTGACAGGAGAGACCACAGTCGTAAGATTGGCAAGCATGGTGAGAAAACCACATACAGGATATGTTAGTGTTATCCTACAAGCAGCAATAATATACAATAACTGACTCAGTGCCATCTGTACTGTGTCTGCAAACAGAAGGTTATACAGGAGAATGTATCGCGACGTCTCACAGAACAAAGCTTTGCTCCTTAAAGTAAAAAGCATGATTCCATTAATGCAGAGAAATAAACAACATGGCAGTGTAGTCAGAGTGGAAAATAAAACTCTTTCCAAAACCCCTTGATACTGCTGGTTAGCAGAAACATTGGTCAGAGACAGATTTGCAAGTAACATTTCAATAAAGAAATTCAGTTTTTAACATCTTCAGTGGAAATAAAACACAAAAAAGTATTCCAACATTTAAAACAGAAAGATCCACAGAGCTCTTTTCAGGTCATCCTCCTCCTGCAGGAAATCAATAGGTTAGAGGGCTGTGGCTGCTTTCAGCTAAACGGCACTGGACAGCAAGATTTTCTTACCCACACATTGTGTATATACGCTCTGTAGTCACACCTTTTCATGTGACTATCACATGTCTGCATTATTTTTTTCCAGTTTCCTTACAACCCCCCTCCTCGCCCCAGGAACATGATAACGTGAACATTATAGTATAGGAGTAATATATTAATAGCCTGTTATGTTGATTCCATATTGTTTAAAGCATTTTCTTCTCACTTGCCATAACATATTCAGAGCATATTTGCACTGCACAAGACACTTACAAAATGTGGATTGCACAACACTGGACATTATATCTCTTCATTTCCAGTTAATACTTGTACAGCTGCTGTCATGTGTGTATAATATATATACTACACACTATCATATATATATATCATTACTTATATATTATGCATATATTTGGTGGTTTGTGTTTGGATTAATGGGACACTTCTTTATGTAATATAACATTAAAAATAAACACACCAGCACGCCCCCAGGACCCCAAACGTATTATCCTATCATAGCTCTGGTGTGTGCTTACCGTAGGTGTGGGCTGTGTGTGGTGCCTGTCGCGTATCTTGACTGTTCTCTACAGGACTGCGCTCTTCTGGACAGAGATCTCCGATGTTATTCCCGGGATCTGCTGGAGCCACTCGCCTAGCTTGGGAGTCACCGCACCTAGTGCTCCGATTACCACGGGGACCACCTTACCTTCACCCTCCACATCCTCTCGAGCTCTTCTCTGAGCCCTTGGTATTTCTCCAGCTTCTCGTGTTCCTTCTTCCTGATATTGCTGTCATTCGGAACCGCTACATACAATGACTCACCCTGAAACTCTGGCTGATTGGGACCCACACCCAGTTTCACACCTTGGCTCAGGCGATTAGAGGATCATCAGGGGTCCTTTTGTCCCTCTGTGGGGGGAAACTCCCACTAGGTTTATATCTGGGACTCTCCACCATTTGACCTTAGAACTGAAGAAGCTTCTCGGATGAGAGGTGAAACGTCTTCAAGTAACTTAAAGAAGTCCAGACGCTTTTCTTTGCAAGCTCCTTAAACTTTATAAGTCTTATCCTCTCCTGTGCTAAAGTTTAGAATGGCTAGCATTAGCTACATGTGGTAGTGCAAAATGAGCATCACATCATCCAGTACAAGTGACTAGCACAAATGCTTTGCTTTGTTAGAATTGTTATTGTAAATGAAATGTTATTTACCTCGAAATGTCTTTTACAACAGCTTGCAAGTCCACCATGCAACGCACCATATGTGAATTTGCCCGGGTTAGTTAAGTGGGAACTTGAAATCAGAAGTTACAGTGGAAATAAAATAAGTTATCTATTCAATTTCTTTAAGTAATTACAACTTGAATTTTATTTTGAGCCCACTGACATTGGGATTTAATTTGAAATTACATATAAAATGAATTTAATGTAATTTCCAACATTATTAATTCAACACAACCCCAAAAAAGAAAGTTTGCAACTTAGAAGGTCTACCTTAATCAATAAATTAGAATTTTTATGTTGCAGCCATGGATTTAATCAAGTGGAGGTAAAAGGCCTGGTGAATTACTTTTTAGAGTGAAGCATTTTTGGTTGGCACTGTTCAACAAATAATCAACACATATGCACCAAATTTCTCAGATGTTAGCTGTTACATGTTAATATACTTCAGCATGGAGCTATTTTTATATATCTAATATGAGATATAAGTAGTTGTGCAGTTTACCTGTCAAATAAATCTGAGGATAAGGGTTTTCCTCTTGTTTTTATACGGTTTTAAATTTCAATGTAACTGTTTATGAGTTTTTTCTATTGAGCATACTTAAAAGGCCCAGTAGTAGTCAACTAGTTGGATCACTCAGATTTGACGCACTAGTAAATCAACGCCCATGGGATCCATTAAGGACACTGAAGTGAACTTTTCTCGATTTGCCTTTGACTTCTTGTTAACTTTCCCATAATTTGTCTCTGCTGGGATGCACATCATCTGTTCCCCACGAAAACTGCTAATCATTACCCATGGGATTCATTAATCATGTCAATATTTACTAAAAGCATTAATTAGTTAGGTTCTGAATATTTAATGTAATTAAATGAGTTATCAGGAGACTTTGTTAGATGGGAGCTTTCTCTCTGCGGTACCTCTGAGTGGTTTCAGCCACTGAAAAACAACAATGCCACAACAACAACATTTAGACTTAGCACATTAGGAAAATGGCAGTGGTTAATTAAGAAAACAGGAGCAAAGACACAGTAAAAAAAAAGAAAACTGCTGATGTTGATGATGAAATCCAAGAGAGGAAAAACTCGTGGATACAGACAAAAACTGATTTATATTTTTCTTCTAATATATTTTCTACAGTTAAAAAAATGTAAAGGTACAACCAACTCTTGCTTCTTTGCCATTGTCTATTTATCATTAATACCAAAACCAGTAAAGCCACCCATAGCCAAAAAAGACTAAAAACACTACACTGTCAAGCACTGTGACACACATTGTAACATATGACGTGCAGTTTTCGGTTTGGATCCATGCACATATTAAAACTTACACTTTCCTTTTCGTCACTTTTGTTTTGAATTTTTTCAAGTGACAGGATCATCTGTGGACATGATGATTGGGAGACTTCTGTGTTTTTGGTGGGGGGTGGGGGTGTCTTTGTGTTGTAAGTTAACTCAAGGGCACTATGATTAATTAACAACTTCATTCACACACTTGAGCTGATATGCAACCAGATATCATGACAAAGCATGTAATTGACACGCCTGTCCACCATGTCCATTTCATGCTTTACCTCTCCAAAACATGAAAAGTAAACACATGTGGAAGCTACAGTAAGCTGCAATACCAACAGAGGGAGATACTAATTTTCAAGCCAACATAGAAATAATCACAGGAAAGTGTTTAAACAGACATTATTAACACACACACACACACACACACACACACACACACACACACACACA